CGGGGAGACACATGTCAAAAGATACAAGGCAGCAGACGTGTGGGATGAACCAGTCTAGAGAGCTCAGGTAGAACGTCAGGACTACAGGGCATGAAAATGCGTGGAAACCTGGATTCCTACTAATAGACCAGATCTCAGCTACTCTTGCCACAGAAACAAAAAGGAGTGGGCAACTACATAAGATGATGGCTATGTTAATTTGCTTCACTATCATAACCACTTTTGCTCTCTATATACTTCCATAACATCACACAGTATACCTTAAGTACATATAACAAAATTTCCTAAAAACAAAACAAAACAAAAAATACCACAGAGGTAGGCATTTGGCCTGGTGCTTAAGACGCCCACATCCCACAAAGGAGATCCTGGGTTCCTTTCCTGGTTCCAGCTTCCAATTCCAGCTTCCTGCTAATGCAGACCCAGGGAGGCAGCAGTGAGGGCCGGCTAGTTAAATTCCGCCACCCACGTGGCACATCCAGATTGAGTTCCCAGCCCTGGGCTTCAGCCCTGGCTCAGCCCGGCCCATGTGAGCATCGGGGACTAGAAGCAGCGGATGGCAGTGTTCTCTCTCTCTCTCTCTCTTGGCCTCTCAAATAAATAATTTTAATTAAAAAAAAGTAAACACTTGCAAAACCAGACCCCTTTTACTCCATCGACTGCTGCCATCCTAGTCCAGGCCAAGAGCAACAGCCCCTTGAGTGGTGGCCCTGCCCCTACCCTGTTGCCCCTGCACAGATGCTGGACACAGCAGCCAGGGAGACCCTGAACTTGTCAAAGAGATGGTGGAGCTCCCCTGCTCCAAACCTTAGAAAACTCTGCTTTTTTTAATGGCAACAGCCAGATCCTGAGCCCAGCAAGGGCCCTGAAGTCGGGCGTCCTGTATCCACGCTGACCGCCTTTCCTACTGCTCTCCCTTGCTCGGAGCATACCAGCCTCCTTGCTGTTTCTCAAACACAACAAGAACACTCCCACCTCAAGTGTCTGACCTTGGGCTTCACCCCAAACACCTGCCATGATTCACACCCTCACTTCCTTCCAGTCTTTGCTCAGATCTCGCGCGCTCCATCAAACCTGCCCTCCCCGCCTTATGTAACACTCAAGGCTGTCCCTTCACTCCCGTTCCCTCCCCATCCTCAGCACTCTGGTTCTCCCTTTCCTGTTCTGCTTGCCATTTGTCTCGCATATACTCTTATCCTGCATAACCTAGACAGCGCACGTATAAATTCCGTTCCTCGCTCACTGTCTGCCTGCTTTGCTCACTGATCTCTCCCAGCCCCTCCGAGTCTGGCACAGAGTAGGTGCCGACTGAATATTTGACGAATGAATTGATGAGACTTTCACAATCAGTCATCTGCATGTGTGTGATATTTCTCTAGAAGATCTATCTCTGAGTGAATCTGCTAGGTCACAGACACTGCCAAAAGCATAATACAGAAAGATGTCATCAATGTACACTTGTGTCCCTACCCTGAATAGTAACTGATAAAAACAAAATCTCGTGCTGTTTTAATGTTTCCTGCGCATATGCTGGTAAGGTTGAGGGTCTGGTCTTTAGCCATTTACATTTCTCTCCTTTGAATTTACCTTTTTGTGTTATAACAAGTTACCCATTTTTTGAGATTCTACTTGGCAAGGAAAACATTGTGCAGGCTTGGAAATGGGCAAGAGAGATCCGTAGGTATTCCCTTTGGTACTCTGTTGGGCATTACCCAGGGAACCTTCCTGGGATTGCCTGATTCTACAAAGATGTGTGCCTTTGATTGCATTTCCATTGATTAGGCTATTTTACAAGTCTGTAAGGACCCAGTTCAATTGAAGACAACTGCTAGCAATGTAAATGGTTCCAGTCCTTAGCTATGCAAATGAATTTTGTCCCAAAGTGAATATAGCTCTCTAACTCAAATTCTGATTTGAATCTCTTTTAATGATGGGCTCCTTCAATAATTAATGAGCTAAATAAACTCTTTGACATCTGTTCACTTCATATTGGTATAAAAAGACATGTTTCTAACTTCTTAAAGGCTATCTTGGCAGCCTCTCCCCCAAGAGCCTGTGGAATTCAGCTGTCCTTGCCGTTGGAGACCAGGGAGGGGTTTGGGAATTTTCTGCAGCAGTGATACCAAGAATTAATGTTCAGCTTCTGACGTCCAAAGCAGGGTTTGAATTCACAGCAAGATAATGGGCTCTAAATCCAGGCTTTGTAGAAAGATGGGGATTTTTCTAAATTCCTTTATCTCTGTCAAGCCTGGAGGAGCTAAGGGGAGTCCGTGCAGACAAGGAAGAGCACAGGGGAGAGGCCTGGTATCCTGTTCAGGAGGAGCAGCTCTTAATTTAATTGCTCTGGGCTGAAAGAGCCAAGCCACATATATGAATTGAAGGCAACAGGACCTCAATCTCATTTCCTACCCAGACCATGGAAGGAGGCAGCCCCCCAGGCTTAGCCTCCAGCCCCAAGTTGGGGTGGGCATGACCAAGGCAGTCCAGTATACAAGCGGCAAGGCAAGAAGAAGGAGGCTGGACTTAAACCCTCCCAAGAAGCCTTTGGCTCTCATGTGGCTAATGGAGACAGATTTTTCTTTTGAATTGATTTGAAAGATAGAGACACACAGAGAGGTAGACAAAGCTGCCACCCCACAGGCTGGTTCACTTTCCCCATGTGCGCAACAGCCAGAACTGGGCCACTCCAAAACCAGCAACTCAATTTAGGTCTCCCAGCTAGGTGACAGGGACCCAGCTACTTGAGACGTCACTGCTGCCTTCAGGATCTACATTGGCAGGAATCAGGAATCAAGAGCAGACGTGGGATTCAAACCCAGGTGCTCCACCATGGGATGTGGCCAGCCTCTCGGGTGGCCTAATCACTAGATCAAACATCTACCCATGTGTTGACAGATTTAGCAACTAAAAACACGAGATGCTCAATTAAATGAACATTTTTGAAAAAACAAGGAACAACTTTCTAGTGTAATGATGCTCCCATGTAAAATATTTGAGATAAGCAGTATTTGGGATGTACTTAGGCTAGAAAATTACTGGTTGTTTATGTAGAATTTTAATTCAACTGGGCATCCGCGGTTTCTGATGCACCCTACACGGGGCACTGAGGGAATCCAGAGGGGATGCAGAGGTACCTGGGTGGCCAGGTGGGGGACGTGCTAAAGATCACTGTGACAAGAGCTGCAGGATGGGCCCCGAGACCTGTGAGACACAGGTAGAACCCAGCAAGGCTACAGTGAGGGCAGTAGTGGGACTGGTCCACCAGAAAGGGGCACAGATATTGACCAAGCTGGGGGAGGGAGAGCCCAGCCTTCAAGACAGCAATGCCTGCCTCAACCCCAGATGCCAACAGAATTGGAACAGTCGGAACCAGATGTCACATGAGCTGAGACAACCCAAGGGGAGATCCAGAAGACAACAAGTGAATTTGTGTTGTCACAAGGCCACACAGGTCCTAGCCTCATCCCCACCCCCACCCTGCTGCATCTTAGAGAAGACATCAGGAGGGAAAGTTGGGGCATTATATCCAAATGAGACTGGCAATGAGTTAACGAATCTGTTATGTGAACATGTTCCCACCAAGCTTGCTGTAGGAAACAAAATTATGGAGGCAGAGGAGGACAAGAGGTAAGATCAAGCTTACAGCACTAAAGTAGGAGATATTCTGTCTGCACTTTGAAATGTATAGTAATTTTGTGATTCCATCCATTTTTTAAATGATCGTTGAACTCCCATGTATTGCAAATATTTTCTGGTTATTTATGTTGTTTTAAGGTTTGGCTTTATACTACCATGTGTTACACAGAAGTGTTCATTTGATGTAGTCAATAGAAACATATCATTTATGTCTTCTGCATTTCCCTGCTTCAAGATTATTAAAGAATATTCCTATATTTTCCTGTAATATTTTTAGTTACAACTTAAGCATTTGACTTTAATTTGTCATATGTAGCTTCACAATATATTTTTATATCTCATAAAGCAATAATCCTGTAATGCTCCTCTTAAAAAGAAATTGGCCAACTCTGTCTACTTATCATAACTTATTGGTTAATTCAGTGGAAATTAAAAAATATACAGAAGCATGATACACCTCTTCACTTACTTGGATTTCTACTGGAGCATTTAATGAGGGTTCATCTTTTTTACACAGATCTTACACATTTGTCATTTGTCACCACTATTGGGTATTTGATAGCTTCATGGTTATAGAATCCTATTTTGTCTCACATTTTCTAGTTCATTACTGCTGATATTTAACCAACCTTTAGACTTTTTTTACATTGATTTTATGATAGACCCCTTTATAGAAACCTAAGTTCTAATAATTTGCCACTTGATTTTCTTAGGTGTTCTAAGTTAACCATAGAACTTTCACCTCTCTTATCACACCAGCCTCCAGTGTAATGGAACAGCAGTGGTAACTGTGCTGTCTTTGACTTGTTTCCACATCAGATGAAATGCCATAGTGTTTGGTAGACACTGTGTATCAAGACGCTATCTTGGAAGTGTTTGTCAACACCTGGCATCAGTAGATACCTGTTACCCTGTGCTGCCTCTCTCTCCCACCTGGGGCCAAATGTCTCTTCTTGCTGCTTCTTGACAACCCACCCAGCTCTCTAGCGTCACCTCCAAGATCCCCTGGACAGGTGACCCCAGGTAGCCCCTCTCTCCACATGTGCCACGTCAAGTGTGGAGCTCTCCAGAACTAGCACCCTTGGACTGTGCCCACCTTTTTCTTTTTTTACAGGCACCGTGCTGATCCGATGGCAAGAGCCAGGTACTTCTCCTGGTGTCCCATGGGGTGCAGGGTCCAAGCACTTGGGCCATCCTCCACTGCACTCCTGGGCCACAGCAGAGAGCTGGCCTGGAAGAGGAGCAACCGGGACAGAATCCGGCGCCCCGACCGGGACTAGAACCCAGTGTGCCGGCGCCACAAGGCGGAGGATTAGCCTAGTGAGCCGTGGCGCCGGCCTGTGCCCACCTTTTAAAGAACTCACCTGAGTGTGTTTTGATTGGGAAACTCAACTTCCGAGAGGATCTGATCTCCTTTCTGGCTTTTGGGCCTTCCTCCTAATTTCAGACACATGCAGTTTGTCCAGAGTTCTCATAGAAGTGTTTCAAGTCTTTCCTGAGGTTTCCAGAGACCTGGTGCAGAAGACAGCGTGAATAGCAGGCGTGCTCATTCTACTACCTTTAGCCAGCCCCTTTCTGCTCCCAGACAAGCTTTCTCACCCCTTTATCAAGGGCTCCCGCCACCCCCAGCACGTCATCAGGCACTGCTGGCACGGAACCCCTTCCTTGACTCCTGCAGGGCCCTGGGGATGGAAGAGGCTGTAGGGGCCCCTTTGACCCACCATGAAAGCTAATTACAGCTGGCCTGTTATTTATGTTGCTGCTGAACGTCGCCCTCAAAGTCACCTTCTCCATCAGCCTAGGTCCGGGGCGATCGTAAAAAGAAAGAGAATATTTCAAGCTGATGGCTGTCGTCACCGAGGTCTGCTTTAGATGCTCAAATAAGCTGAGATCTGAGCTTGACTGTGACCTTCCTAAGAGGCTTCTTGGGATAAAAACTGCCCAAGAAAAATGTCCCCACGGGTCTTTCAGCAGCTGACTCTGTTACCCAAGGGACAGCGACACCAACATTCTAGGTTGATTAGGATTACTTCTTGATCTTCAAAATGCACGATTACATCTTGCCTCCCTTTTCTGACGTCCTTACAGTGTTTGATGACGCCTCTGGTAGGGGCTAAACTGCCTACTTTGGGGCCAGTGAGAAGAAAGCATTTCCGTCCCATTGACATCCCTCTCCTGGAAGCCACAGTTGAGTCAGGCTCAGAAAGAGGAACTCAGAAAAGACAGTCAACAAATTCCTTTTACTCACTTGCTCTAAAGATTAGCAGCCAGGTGTACAGACCAGCAGGATTCTAAGACTTAAAATCCTCTCTCATTGGCTTCTATGGGAACCATCTTTTCACTGGGTTTACACTGCAAACTTGACCATGTGAACAGCTTCAGAGACAATCTGGCTATGCAGGGTGCAGGGTCCGCAGTGGAGATGGCAGCTTGCTGGAAAACCAGGTCATGCATAGAAAAACTTGGAAATGCCTGGAGTGGGGAGACTGAAAGTCATCTCCGACATGGAGAAAAGGAAGCTGGTAGGTTCCGACTGATATGACCAGGACTTTGCTGCCACCTACCCTCCATCCCTAGATCTGACCTTCCCTCCAATGCCACACAGCAGCCAAGCACCACTGCCATCCAGAGAGCTACCACACAGCGCAAGACTGATTCCTACAGCACGACCCTGAATCTCCTCATAGAAACCTGAAGCTACCACAACACTCAAAGAATGGCGGTGGCCCATGGCGGGCCCAGGGCTTGTGTGCCATCACACAGCAAGCTAGCAGTATCTTGTCTGCATCTGGACAAGTACACCCAGGGGCCCTCCCCAAGAATGGCAAAGAATTAAAGCTCGTGGTCCAACAAGTGATCATGCACATTTGTCCAATGATAAAGGAGAATGTCTAGACACAGAATACCAGAGTGACTCATTTGCATCTGTGTGCTTTAGCTTGGAATCTTCCAGAAACAGACCCTGAAATGAGAATTTTTTTTAACTCACTTGAGAGAAAGAGAAAGGGATACCCATCCATTTGTTCATTCCCCAAATCCCTGCAACAGCCATGGTGCCAGAGCCAAAAGCCAGGAACTCAATCTAGGTGGCAGGGACCCAACCTTTTTTTTTTTTTTTTTTTTTTTTTTTGACAGGCAGAATGGACAGTGAGAGAGAGAGACAGAGAGAAAGGTCTTCCTTTTCTGTTGGTTCACCCCCCAGTGGCTGCTGTGGCTGGCGCACCATGCTGATCCGAAGCCAGGAGCCAGGTGCTTCTCCTGGTCTCCCTTGCAGGTGCAGGACCCAAGCACTTGGGTCATCCTCCACTGCACTCCCGGGCCATAGTAGAGAGCTGGACTGGAAGAGGAGCAACCGGGACAGAATCCGGCACCCTGACTGGGACTAGAACCTGGGGTGCCGGCGCAGCAGGCGGAGGATTAGCCTAGTGAGCCGCTGCACAGACCCGGGACCCAACTATTCAAACCACCATCTGTGCTGGCAGGAAACTGTGCTGGTAGGAAACAAATCAGGAACCAGAGCAGAAAATTGAACCAAGGCTCCCTGATGCTGAAGGTAGGCCTCCCAAGCAGTATCTTAACTGCCAGGCCAAACAGCCATCCCTGAAATGAGAATTCAACTGTATGTGCAATCGTGTGTCACTTAATGATGGAGGGCGCCGTGCCACTCAGCAAGTGTGCAAACACCACGGCGCCAGTGCTTTCACACAACTGGATGGTGTAGCCTACAACACACAGAGGCTCTGTGTGACTCCAGGTGGCATAGCCTACTGCCTCCAGGACCAAGCTGAATAAAGCAACATGAAATTACACCAAGCCCAAGGCAAAACGATGCAATCAAGAGATATGGCATATAGGAGATGGATGAGTAATATGCTGTTTCACAGTAAACTTTTTCAGTAAGTAGGAGTATACTCTAAACGACAATTAAAAGTATAAAAAATACACAACGCAGTAACATATTATCCGCACCAAGTATTACGTGCCGTGCATGCTTGTATGTGCTATACTTTTAGACGACACGAGTGCACTAGGTGTGGGGACACCAGCATCAGCACATAGCACTATGCTGTGACACTACGAGGGCTATGATGTCCCCGAACAGGAAGTGTTCAGCTCCACAGGAATCTTCTGGGACCACTGTGGCATATGCAGTCTGTCACTTCAGAGGCGACCCCAGGAAGCCCCGCTGAATGGGTGGGGAGGTGTGCAGGGCAGGGAAGGCGTGAGTGCAGGATGTAGAACTGACAGGGTTACCACTGTTGGCAGCTGAGGACCAGCTACGCCAGGGGCCCTGGGCGATGGTGTCTAACACAGCTCAGAGTTGAGCCCCCTCCAGGACAGGAAGTAGGGGGTCTTTAATCCATCAATCACCACCACCATTGTGGGCATCAGCTTCCCGCCAGCCCAGCTTTGTCCAAGCACACCAGAGAGCGCCCTCAAGTGGAGGCTGGAGGTATTTGCATTAGAAGAGTAGGTGCCAAGAGCAAAGGAACAAGGCACCAATTGCATCTGCAACCCTGTTCCTTCCCCTCCGTGGGCTCTGCTGGGCTGGCTTTATGATGTTTATCGCGGCCTGTCTACCCCACCTCTTCCCTAGGAAGCACACAGCTCCACGCCATTTCTGGGACGCCACCTGGCGTCTAAGCAGCGACTTGCTCAGGCTGCTCCACTCACTGTCCCGCAGCCTCCCCAGCGGTGCCCTCCCTCCGTCACCAGCATTTCCACAGACTCTGGCCTCCAGTTCACTCTCTCTGCCATCTCCTGGTGGCATGGCTGTGCGGAGCCATTCCTTACTCCAGAACTTGCCATCGCTTCCTACTCCCTATGCAGTACCATCCAGCCCTCCAAGCTTCCTGGGCCTCCACAGTCCACACTCAGCACGGCTTTTCCATCCAGGCATCCAGCCAATCTAGCCACTAAGACAGGGACAGAGTTGTCACCGGCCCTTTGCTTACATGGCTCCTTCGCCCAGGGACACTCTCCCTCCATCTCTCCATGCAGCAGTGGGTAAGCCAAGCCTCACCTCCTCTAGGAAGCCTTCCTTCCCAACAATGCAGTTGCACTGTGGCCCCTCACCCTGAGCCCCAGAAGCAGGCCTTCTGTGCCACCCATGCCAACTGTGAATGTACCACCCTGTGCTGGCACTCGCTGCCTGGGCCCATCCAGGGCAGAGCAGCCTCTCACTTTCCTTCGCCTCTAGCAGGGGAGAGCAAGCTCCTGGACTTGCACTGATAGAGAGGAGACTGCAGACACCTGTCTTCACCCCTGCACCCCTTCAGCAGGCCAGTGCCTGGAACATGGTAGGCACTTATAATCAGATACTTGGAGAATTAAAACTAGTCGGGGCCAGTGCTGTGGCGCAACGGGTTAATGCCCTGGCCTGAGGTGCCGGCATCCCATATGGGCGCTGGTTCTGGTCCCAGCTGCTCCTCTTCCGATCTAGCTCTCTGCTATGGCCTGGGAAAGCTGTAGAAGATGGCCCAAGTCCTTGGGCCCCTGCACCCACATGGGAGACCCGGAAGAAGCTCCTGGCTCCTGGCTTCGGATCGGCGCAGCTCCGACCATTGAGGCCATCTGGGGAGTGAACCAGCGGGTGGAAGATCCCTCTCTGTCTTTACCTCTCTATAACTGTCTTTCAAATAAATAAAATAAATCTTTAAAAAAAAAAAAAGATTAGAGTGATTCAAAAATTATATAAAAAAAAACTAGTCATTGAACCATGCCCCTGGAATTGAGGTCACCTGAAATCAAAGCGTTACTAGGTGCCTTTCGATAGTTTCAAAATTTTATTCATATTTTTGTGTTTTTCTTTTGACCACTCTGTCTCACTGCAAAGGCCACTGTATGTCCCCAAAAACTAATTCAGAAGAGCATTTTATGACTTCATTATTATTTTTCCTACAATAATAAAAAAAAAACCTCTGAAAGGAAAAAACAAACTGGGGTGGCTTTTTAAAAACTTTTTCTTCCTTGTTTGGAACCGAAAGCAGCCAGATACACTCAGGACCCAGCACGCACAGTTGCCATGGTACCTTGTCCTGTGAGGGGCCTGAGATCTCCCCACGATGCAGTTCTCTGCAGACTCGTGGGGCCTGGGCAGGTGTGTAGTTCAAGGAGCAGGAGCCCAGAGCAGCAGCTCTGCACATGACAATGTGACGAGAAACAACAGAGACAGACACAGATACCAGAGATCCCTAAGCAAAAATTGTAGCGAAACCCCAGGAAGAACCAGAAGGGATCCCTGGAGAGAAAGACAAAGAGGAAGGGATTCCTACCCCCATGCCCTGCTTCTCCTGTGCACTGGCCTTCCCTGCTTCTCCACCACCCTTGGAGGCAAGAGAGTGCAGCTGGGGCTCAAAGTCCACCTTGCAGCCCCCAAACACCAGCATCTTCAGAAAGTTCAGGGAAGATGTGTGCTATGAAAAAAAATAAATAGCTGTGTGTATGTGCATAATTTTGCACCCAAGTAAACTTATTTCTAATTCCATTTCCTATGGACTTTTTGAAGCGCCTCTATACACACACCCCACTCCTATGGACCATGCCTTAAGAGGTGGGATCACATTATGCACATTGGGCTGTGACAGCTGACCCCTGTGGGTGACGGGTGGAGGGAGGTGAAGGAACTCACTGTGAGCTGGAAGCACACCCCCAAAATGCACCTGCAACACACTTCCTGCAAAGGAAACCCAAGGCGCAGCCACCCATGAGGAGAAAGCCTAATGTGAGCGTCCCTAGGGTCCCAGACCCATGTGCTGTAGCACCTGCAGGAGCCGGGACGAGTGGCAGACTGACAGACAAGTCTCCAGCCCAGTGTGAACTCGGTGTGGCTTAGGACCAGGGTCAGCAGGTTTTTTCCATTAAAGGACACGTACGAAATACTTTGGGCTTTGCAGCAATCCTGCAATCTCTGTCACATATTCCTGCTATGTTTAAATAAAGTCCTTTGTGGGGTGGGCACTTGGGATAGTGGTTAAGCCACCAATGGGGACACCTACATCCCATATCCAAGTGCCTGGGTTTCAGTCCAGGTTCTGCTCCCAATCCCAGCTTCCGGTTAACAAGCATTCTGGGAGGCAGCAGGGGATTGCTCAAGTCATTGGATTCCTGCCACCCAGGTGGGACACGTGGATTAAGTTCCTGTCTCCCAGCTTTAGCCTGGCCCAGCTGAGGCTGTAGCAGGCATCTGGGGCACAGTCATGGGTTGGGAATATTCCTGCAAGCACCACTACCACCACCACCCCGGACAGGAGGGCTCCCCATCCTCTGTCCTTGAACCCTGGCTCACCCCTGGGGCTCCTTGGTTAACATGACACAGTCAAGGAGACGCCATGGAAGCAGGCCAGAAATGGCCCTGCAGCTCCCGCCTGGTCCTCGTGGGATCCTGGCTGCCAGGGAGTGCTGGACGCTGGGCTCAGCCGCCCTGAGGCCCCTGTGCACTCCGGCCAACCACCTGGCTTAGCTCCATCTCGGACCCCAGCCCAAAAGAGCTCCCCCCACCCCCTGCGTCTGCAACCCCAGCTCCCAGGTGCCTGTGAGAGCTGAACAGCCCAGCCAACACCTTCCTGAACTCCCGGGGTAATTTATCACATGGCGAAAATCACCATAGCAATCGTCAAAACCCAAGGCCCCAGCCAAAAGCTCAGAGGAGGTCCCACCAGCTCTCACACCCACAGGCTTCGACTGCGGCCCTTCCGCCAGGGAAGCCGCCCACCTGCTAACCTTGTCCAGCCCCGCTGCCTGCTGCTGTGCTGGAGGCTTCCACGCCTGTCCCACGTCTGCGGATGTGGACAGCAGGCCAGCCACCCTGACCCCTCCCTGGCTGACTCTGGCCCCGTTCTCCCGCACAGTGATGGGGGAGAGCTGTCCACGCTGGCCGGGCACTCAGGCAGCCGGAGAGCCCAGCCCACCCGGGGACAGCCAGGCTGCTGGGTCCGTCAGTGCGCCTGAATTCAGAGCACTATTCATGGGCTGGGGGGCCCAGGAGGCCGGGGGCCTGGGACCGGCTGGTCTCTCATTGTGCCGGGGCCCTGGAGGCACAGGAGGGACCCGTAGGACCCCCTCCCAGCACCCAGGGGCTCACTCTCGACCTCCCCTGACAGGAGACAACCTTCCGGTCACTCCTGCGGCCTCGGCTCCGACCGGAAGGGGAGGAGTCTCCTCGGGGAAGATGGCGGTGGCGGAGAGGCGGAGCCATGTCAGCAGGGCAGCATGGCAGCCACAGTTAGCAATAACCTATCATGTATTTCCAAATGGCTAAAAGAGTAATAGGCAAATCCTCAGCCTGAAGTGCCGGCATCCCATGTGAGCGCCAGCTCATGTCCCAGCTGCTCCTCTTCCGATCCAGCTCTCTGCTGTGGCCCGGGAGGGCAGTAGAAGATGGCACCTGCACCCGCATGGGAGACCCGGAAGAAGCTCCTGGCTCCTGGCATTTGATCTGCACAGCTCTGGCCGTTGCAACCATTTGAAGAATGAACCAGCGGAAGGAAGACTTTGCGCTCTCTCTGTAATTCTACCTCTCAAATAAATAAAATCCTTTTCTAAAAATGTAGATTTTAAGTGCTCTCTCCACGAACAGAAAATGAAGTGAGATGACAGTTAAGCAATTAGCTTCCTTTAATCATCCCACAATATGTACATATAACAAAACACCACACTGTGCCCCCTGGTCTACATGCAATTATTATTTGTCAATCACAATTCGGTTTTTTTAAAGAGGCTTTGAGAGGTGTATTGGAACTTCACTCCACTGAAGAAAGGCTTTTCCTCTTGGCCTAAAGAGAGAGTGTTCAGCCAGAGCTGCGGGGCCTTCCACGATTCCGGGCTTTCAAATTGTGATTCTATTATTAATCACTCTCTGCCTCGGTCTTTTTATCTTTCTTAATTTCTAATTAACACACAACTGTCAAGCTGGAGGGTACATCAGAGAGTTCTTAGAAACTGAATTAAAAGAAGTTTATTTTGGTGCAAAAAAAACACTTTGCAACCCAAGAATATGAGAAGTCTTCAAAAAGTTCATGGAAAATGCATCTTATGAAAAAGGTATTTCAAAAAAAACCTTTGCACCAAACTAAACATATCTTTTCTTGCTGTTGTTCTGTAAACTTTTTGAAGTTCCTCATACTTATTGGGGCACAGTGTGATATTTCAGTACAAGCATCCGTTGTGGAATAAGGTCAGGGTGATTGGCATATCCATCACCTCAAATATTTATCATTTCTTGGAGTAGGGATCTGGCTTTTGGTTTCAGTGATGTTCCCTATGGATTTTCTGTTTCAAATTTCATTGATTTTGGCTTTAATTTTTATTCTTTCTTTTTCTCTTT